AAACTAAATGAAATTTGTTGCTCTATGTGTTCTAAAGCATGTGTTAACGAGGTTATCTAAAGCTTGGCATAATAAAAGGCCAGCATTGATAGAATCTATTACATTATTGTTAGAGGTGCAAAATTTGGGAGTTTGTAAAGCACTTGTAGAAGTATGTTTTTTTGTCCCAGCTAACAGTTGTTATGGCTTCACACTATTACTTGTTTGGTCCTTCTGATGAGCTGTTTGTTGAATATCTTGTAAGACATTGTTCAGTGTCAGATCAAGATATAGATAACCATGTAAGCATGAGGGATCCGTTGTGTAACGCCCGGTTTCTGGCATGCATTTATTTATAAAATTAATCATTTTTATAGAGCTACTTGACGAGTTGGAAGCCCCAGACTCATCGAGTAGAATTGAGTCTTGGACGCGGTTTTTCCATCTATCTACTCGGCGATTCGAGAGCCCTCGACTCGGCGAGTAGGTTTGCCATAGTGAAACCCTAATTTCGGGGTTTTGCACCCTATTTAAGCATCTTAATCCCCACCTTTTGGCCTCATTTCCAGCCTCCAAGTCCTAAACCCTAATCCACGAAACCCTAGAGCATTTTGTATGTTTGTGTGAGCCATTCTTGAGTGATTTTGTGTGTTCTTGAAGCTAGAAGAAGAAGGAGGAGTTAGAAGGTTCGAGGAGAAGATAGTAGATCTAGGGATTTCCTTCCATCCTCATCACTTTCTGGTAATCAAGTATCTAACTTGATCATTCATTCATTAGATCTACTTACTTCCACTTTTATGAAGGTTTTGGTTCAAGAACCTTGGTCTTTGGGATTTGGACGCCCCAAGTGACTTACATTCCAGATCTGGGATCTAGAAGGAGTTCCATGGCATAAAGGTGCAAACTTTATGACCATGGAAGCCCCATGCAAGCTTAAAAACATTATTATGGCCTTTTTAGCCCTAAAAGGCCATGTATGGAAGGAAAACTAGGAACTTTACATGTCCAACTGATGTCCAAGGCCTAGATCTATTATAATGTGCTTTGATTTAGAGTATTATGGCTTGTGGACCAAGATCTATGTTCTAGAGAGTTAGGGTTTGAGCTAAACCCATTAAGAAGGACTAATAGCGGGTAAAGTTGGATCTGAAGGGTAGGAGCTTAATCCATTGAGATGGCTCAATTAGACAGAGGAAATCGGCGAGTCCATAGAGGGACTCGACGAGTTGAATTGGTTTGCCCCGGTTTAGCTTAAGGTAGAACTTGACGAGTCGGTGAAGGGACTCGACGAAGTGATTCGGTAGATCGCGACTATGAGTAGCCTGGGAACTCGACGAGCCGGGGGGAGACTCGACGAGTTAGATCGCGATTTAAGGTTCTAGGAGTCAACGAGTTGATGGAGCAACTTGACAGTTGGGTCAACCAGAAGGTTGACTTTGACCAAATCTTTGACTTTGACCAGGGTTAAAATGGTCATTTTACCCTAAGGAGAATTATCAGGTTTTGACTAAGTGTTTTTGTGAAATCAATAGCCGGGGAGTCGTTGGAGCAGCCATCAGAGATTCCTCACATGAGATTTCACATTTAGCATACGAGGTGAGTTTTCTCCTGTAGGAACGGGTCTAAGGCACCAAGGCCGACTCGTTTAGATAGTAGTAGTTCCGGGAAAAGGTCTGATGCCGGGCGGGGCCCGATGTAGTCTTACATGCTTTTCCGGGTTTCGATCCGATGTCGGGCCTGTCCCGAGGAATGCTTGTATGCGTGATGTCTTTGTGATTCTTGCATGTGTTTGTATTTGTATGTTTCCAGGCTTCAATCCGATGTCGGGGTGGTTCCCGAGGAATGTTAGTATGCTTCCGGATTTCGGTCCGATGTCGGGTGGGGCCCGAAGAATGTTTATATGTTGGTGTTAGTTGCTTATGTTATGTATTAGTTGATATGCTCATATGTATGCCGAGATCTGCTCGATGCGAATACGGTTCGATGCCGAGCGGGGCCCGATGTCGGGAAAGCCGATGCCGAGCCTGACTCGATGTCGCAGGGGCAGGGCCCAAGATATGTTTATGTGATATGTGTATGGTATGTGGTAGTTGGGGAGACTCACTAAGATTCGTGCTTACAGTTTTCAGTTTTGGTTTCAGGTACTTCCGGTAGCAAGGGGAAGAGTTCGGGATGATTGCAGTGCACACACTATTGTTTCAGCCTGGGATGTTTAGACTCTGATATTTGGCACATGATTTTGATACAATATTTTATTATGATGATTTGAGATACATTACGTATGTTCTTTATATGAGATGAGAAATGGTATCTATGGTTTTTATAAATAATCAAAACGAAAATTTTGGACTGTATTTTTGGGATGTTTCACGTTTAGATCTAGCAATTTGTATTATTCCTTTCATCATAAGAGATTAGAGGTTTGTAAGTTTGTAATTTGTAATTTGTAATTTGTAATTTGTAATTTGTAATTTGTAATTTGTAATTTGTAATTTGTATTTCATCTATGTGTGATTGTGAATAAAAATGTTGACCACGCATAAAATCATACTGTTCCAGGTTCGAGTATCAGGTGCTTTATTAGCCAAGAATCAAGTTTTATTAGACCTAAAATTGGCTTTATATAAAACATCAAAGAGATGTATTTTTTCATCTTAAAAGATGGCAGCTTACTTGGTTAAGCCTAAAAAATGTAATGTTAACCAAATTTTGTCATCGCGCTCTTTAATGATTTTAGAAATGTACTGCTAGACCTATTGATCGTTTCAAACATATAGGATAACCAAATGGTGGAGAAAAAGATATATATAGGTCACCTTACAAATTGCAATGAAGTGCGAGGTTTTTTTACTTGTTAGCATAAACATATTATAAAACTTGAAGACTTACATCAAATAACTTAATATGTAAACTGTAACACCTAATTCAAAGTACTTTTCATTTTTGACCCTTGGTGTGTAAATATTTTGCAGATCTGGTCCCTAAGGGGCAATTTTGCCATTTTTGGAAATATGGGAGTACATAGGGTGTACGCACCCAGGGGACAAACCCTAAATTTTAGGGTTTGGACACTATTTAAACAACATTATGACCTATGATCCTCTCATTTCTTAGCCTCCATTACCCTTTGAGTCCCATTTCGAAACCCTGGCCCCTCTTGAGGAGATTTATCCCTCTTGTATGTGTTTTTAGTGTGTGTTGGTGAGATTTGAGGAAGAAGAGCTTGGCAGAAGGAGCCTTGTTCAAGGGAGAACTTGTAGATTTAGATTTCACACATCATTGACAGCTTCATTGAGGAAAAAAGCTTGGAACTTGCTCCTTGTATGCTTAGATATAGTCTTTATGAAGTTTTGGTCCCTTTTTGGTCCTATGATGAGATCTGGTGGGTTTCTTCCACTCCAAAAGTTAGGAGTTTCTTCTCTTGATGTTTCTGAGGTCCATAGTCCATAAAGTTAGCATCTTGATGGTTGTGGATCAACCATTCATGTGTTTAGGTCCATTTGGTGAAAACAGAATGCTAAATGTAGGGTTTGGGTTCCTTTGAGACATGCAAAGGCTCCAAGTTCATGACTTTATGGATTAAGACGTTCCACAATGCTTAGATCTGAAGTTTGGACGTTCGGTTGCATGAACTAAGCACTTAATGGAAAAAGTGCTTAATGGGTGTGTATGTTGAGCGTACGTTGCCGAGTCCCCGATCCAGCACGCAACCTAGTACGTTGGGCGTACGTCTAGTACACGCAGCGTACCAGGCCTGGTCTTTGGGCTTTGCGGTTTGGGTCGCTTTTAGGCTATTGGGGGTTGTAGGCCGTGTTAGGCTACTAGCCTTTCTAACTTTGGGTCATTGTTAGGCTTTGGGCCTTCCTAGATTTGGGCCTATAATCGGCTTTCGTCATCGTTTAGGGTTTTGGGCCATATTAGGCTTTTGGATCCATTGTATTGGGCCTCTGTTATTAGGCAAAGTAAGGAAGGAGTATAATGGTCCTTTACCCTAGGAGTTGGACAAATGAAATAGATTCCTAGTTAAGGTTTATGGTCCAATCATTAATTGGGGTTTTATTTGATTAATTAACGCGAAGACTTTCCGGATCAGCAGTCCGAGCATTTATCTGATTTTCAGCAGTTTGAGTCGAGTCTCATAATTGTGCTTGGCGGGTCGAAGACACCAATGTTGGCCCATGATTTATTATGATTAGGATGCTAGTTGTGTGCGTGAATCTTGCATGTGCAGTATGTAATATGTATACCGAGCGGGGTCCGATGCCAGGTTGGGTCTGATGAGTGTATTGTATGCTATTTATCTTAGTGATTCTTGAATGTATTTTATGTATCTCTATGAATGTTGGGCGGAGCCCGATGCCAGATGGGGCCTGATGAATGTGATAGAGCGGAGCCCATCTCATGTTACTGACAGATCTGTTCCGAGCGGGACCCGATGGTTGTTGGGCATGACCCATTATATGTTTCATATGTATGGTATGAGGTATTTTGGGGAACTCACTAAACTTCATGTTTACGGTTTTCAGTTTATGTTTCAGGTACTTCCGGATCGAATGGGAAGAGCTCGGGATGATCGCATCACACACACCATGACTTCCGTTTATTTGACTCTAATGTATTGGGATGATTGATTGATATACTCTGATTTTCTTTTATGGTTTTATGAAAACACTTTGGATGATGGTTTTAATATTATTAAAATAAAATTTTTGATTTTAAATTTAGGAGGTTGTAAACAATAAAAAATAATAAAATATATTATTTTTATACATTTTGTCCATCTTAAAACAAGAGATTAATAATATTAAATATTTATGTCAAAATACTATAACATAAAACTAAAAATAAAATGATAAGGTAATACCTTTTTGTGCATGTGAAAGTGATCAAAATGGAATTTCATTTTTAATTTAAATACGGTTTTCTCGTTTCCCGAAGACAGACCAGATCATACCTATTCTACCCTCATGCAACACCCTCTATATATATTCCCGCCTCCCTCTTTTGCCAAAATCCTAATTAAAGCTACCTCGATCCCCATAACCCCTTTTCTATCTCCCTCTTCATTTTCATTTTCTCTCTCTACACCGCAGAAAACTCATGGAGGCCCGCCTGAAAACCTCTGTCGCCGCCGCCACATCCATGAACATTTCCACACCGACAGAAGAATCTGATTACTCAAACTCCCATTCACCTCCATCGTCTCCTCTGGCACATCCGGTGGTGCTCAGCCCTTGTGCCGCCTGCAAGATTCTCAGACGACGGTGCATCGAGAAATGCATGTTGGCACCCTACTTCCCACCCACTGACCCCCATAAGTTCACCATTGCACATCGCGTATTCGGAGCTAGTAACATCATCAAGTTATTGCAGGTAAGCATTTTGTCAAGATTTTCTTAATTATATATTCTCATTAGTTTTGATAACAACAATTTAACATTGACTCATGTATATATGATGATGATGATGATGTTTTTATAGGAACTTCCGGAGTCTCGTAGAGCAGATGCTGTTAGCAGTATGGTGTATGAAGCAAATGCAAGGCTTAGAGATCCTGTGTATGGATGTGCAGGAACAATTTGTCAGCTTCAGAAGCAATTAAGTGCGCTCCAAGCAGAATTAGCGAAAACACAAGCAGAGGTGGTGAATTTGCAATGTCGGCAATCCAATTTTCTGACACTAATCCGTATGCAAATGGATCAACAAGCACCACCAGTTTCGCCACCACAACATCAACAAACACCTAATTATGAAAACGCAAGTTTTTTCGATGATAACGCCAATTTAGGCAGCTTTGAGCCGCTTTGGACTTGATCACCTTTTGTGTTCGCACAAGAAATTTGCAGTTAACCAAAGATGATCAAATGTAGTTTATCAACTTTTATTAAACTCAATCATATATAATGTATTTTATAATTATCTTATATATAGTAGTATTTCAACTACAAAGCAGTTGACATTAGGACAAACTATAGAAGTAATATAGCGAGGTTGTATTTTCTTGATGTTTAATAGAATAAATGTTTGTGTAGCAGTTGTTGAACCAAACGCAGCTTATACTATTATTTACCAGTTTAATTAAATTTGCTTGTTTTTTGTCCAACTTGCTATTTGACTTAATATAACTAACCTATCAATAATTCAAGATTAATAGAAAATCATATATAAGAAAAAAATGCACAAAGCTTTGACATTTAACACTATTAATGTTTTTCAAGTTCGTAACAAAATCAAAAAGATTTATAAATAGATAATAAATTTTTACTTTTTGATATCTAACTGTTATATGAGATGTAACAATTAACAGGTCATATTTTAATTTTATATTTTTATCTGAATTTTAATTTTTATTAAATTTTGTCTATATTATAAATTTTGTACTTATCATTTTTTTTTTAAATTCGTCCCAAAATTAGTTTCCTTTACCAATATAATCTTTAAAACTTTTTTTACACTTATTTAAATATTATTATATGTTTTAAGAATTTTTATAGAACAAATTTATACTTTTTAAAAATCTTTTTTACACTTTTTGAACTTTTTCACAACCACTTAAAACTTTTTATAATTTTTTACAGTTTATTTTAATTTTTTACAATTTTTCTTAAACTTTTTTATAACCTTTTTACAACTTTTTTGAAATGCTTTCATTTTAAAAAATTTGTAAAAAAAGAAAACGGAAATTTTGAATGAAAGTGTAAAAAAATGTTAAATCAATTTAAAGATCTTGTAAAAAAGTATAAAATTATTTGTAAGAAATTAAAAAAAGTAAAAAAAAGGTTGTTAAAAAGTGAAAATATCATAAAAAGTAATACAAAAGTCATAAAAATAGATTTGTAAAAAAATTGTTTTTATAAAAATATGCATAAAAACAAAAGAGTAGTTTTGACAATATTGGTAACAAAATTTAAAATACAGACTAGATTTATAATAAAATTTTAAACTTAAGTTTAACCGTTTGTGAAATTTTACCCAAGGTCTATTTTCTATTTTTTACACTTCAAATACTTTTAGATAAAAATAGAAAACAAAAATATTTAATTATGTATTGTAATTTAAATATTTTAGATAAAATCTAGACAACAAGTTATTTATGTATTTAAAAATATATATAATAACAAAGTTGTAAAAAAAGAGGGCCAAAATGTAAAAAAGAGAAAATAAGAGACTAAAATTGTAATACTTCAAATGGTCCTTGTGTAAAATTTCACAAATGGTCCTTAAGCACGTTTCACAAAATGGCAGAAATAATTCTTATAAAAAATTCTTTCAACTTAACGGGTTAATTTAACGAACATTAACGGTACAGACCATTTGTGTGCAAGGTTTGCTCCATATGGATCATATCAGGGAAAAAAGTTTTGTAAGGAACATTTCAGGAAAAATTGTAAAGCTAAATGACCATTCGTGTAATTTACCCTAATTATTTCCTAAAACAGTTTAACTGTAATTTCAAATATATCGAAAAACATATACAAAAGAGAAATACAAATACAAGAGATACAACAAACTATCTAAAGTAAAAGCATGGAAATAAAGAGATTCATATTAGAATTAATATAGTTTTCTAAACTCTCATTCAAGATGGACCGTGAAGATCACGATCATCAAACTCGTTCAAGGTAAAACTAAATTGTTTTGTTTTGAGTGTTTTAGTGAAAATGGTTGTATTCAAATTTCCAGCATTCCATTTGTATTTCTAAGAAAGTAAATAAGTTAGAAGGATTAAAATTAGAAAATAAAATAGATTTTATAGCTCCCATACTCTTTATGTTTTTCTTTCGCTCCCTCTGACAATAAACAAAATGATATGATTCAAAACATATAACCATTTGATGTGTATTCAAAATTTCATTATACTTTTTACATCATACTATTAATCTTCCATTTACATTACAAATTTTGTATTATACAATTACCACATTTTATTTGCATCATTATATTTGATTTGCATTTAAATTTAAATTATACCATTTGCATCATATCATTTGTCTTCATTTTGCATCATACAATCCCTAAAAACTTTTCCCATTTGTATCATACAACAACATGTTTTATGATAAAATTATGATCCAAACATGTTATACACTAAACTTTTTGAATTTACATTATTGTGACTTTGCTTATATTACTTCATGCACATAATCAAGTCTTCATAAAGGATTCAAATTTATACTTGAAAGCTTTATTAGTTGGAGTGTTAGACATTTTTGTTGTTAAATTAGCTTCGATGGCCAATTGTTGAACTTATTATAATAATTAGATGGCAAATTGTTGAACTTATTATAATAATTATATGAAACCTCACGAACAAAATAAGGTATTCAAAACTATATAAGTAAACTAATACTATGCAAAATAACTTTTATATTCAAAAGGACTATAACTTGATATCATAAAGAGTAAATTTATTAAACACATTATGTGTGTTTGAAACATCACACTTTTAAAGCTTTTGTACTTTCAAACCGCCCCCTTTAAAACTTTTTTTGGTGTTAAAGAAGACGATTAAGTTTTAATAATCAATGGAGAAGAAAACAAAAATTCAAAACGATTCAAATCATCTACTAATCACATCAGGGTTTAAAAAACATGGTATCCATTCTAATATATGTACATGTGATATATGTGATCGTATCATATATGATCCTGACAAAAATTCAAAACGATTTAATGGACGTGTGCAACATGTGATTATGTCACATCTAAGAATTATTTTTTTATATTTCCCCTCTTAATAAAATTAGTCGAGAATAATTATTCTAATCGATTCTCACCATTTTTTGGATGCTTAATGGATCCGGACTATATATATATATATATATATATATATATATATATATATATAATATATATATATATATATATATATATATATATATATATAGTAGGTGTGAGACTCGTGTATTACACTGGTTTTAAAAAAATTAATATAAAAAATTATAAACATACATACTTTTTACAATACCAGAAATATTGATCTTGTGAAATCCTTTCCTTCAATATTATATAATTTTGGAATTGTTAATACTGCTTAGCTATGAAATTGGCTAACATATGCATATTATCAGGGAATTAAAAAGGAAGAAATTAAAGTTTGTATAACAATTATTTTCAGAGTTTAATATAATTAAATACCTTACATATATAAACTATATATTCAATTCCAGAATTTTTAATTTAAGATATGTGAAAAAAAGCAGAAAATGACATGTGGAAAATAAGAAATCCATAATATCTAAGAAAATTACATGTGGCAAATGCATGAAGAACATGACATGTGGCAGAAATCATTTTCATTTATTAGGTTAGATATATATATATATATATATATATATATATATATATATATATTGTAGTGCTAGGTTATTGTGTGGGTATACGATTGATTGAAGACCAATCATTTTAGTTATTTGAAGAAAATGATTAATAATTATTATTACATTAAAAATAATAAAAAAATACCATCTAATTTTATTGTAATAGTATTTTAGTCAAGTAAGATAAAATTACAAAAGGAAACTTCTATAGTTCAAGAGATAATTAATTCTCTTGATTTAAAAAATATTCAATTTTAGTTATAATGTAATTTGTAAGCATAATTGATTTAGTTTTGTCAGAATGTTATTTTGTTAGAATGATGTTTTATTAAAAATATTCTATTAGAATGTTATTTTGTTAAAATACTATTGAAGAATAACAAAATTCTTTAACCGACATTTGAGTAATAACAACATTCTTATATATTTTATAGACATCCAAACATAAATATAAATTTATACAAAATAATAGCCTTATACATTTTAATATAATTATACATATTCTAACTGAATGTCATAAAAATGAATAAAATTCTTAAAAAATAGCATTTCTTAAATATACAATACTTGAACAAATACATTTGATCTTCTTTAATGGTCCAAATAATCGGCTTGATTCCAACTATTCTTACGAAAATGTGATGTATTATCGTAAGAGTGTAATTCTGAAAGATATTGTATGCAAAAGAGTCATTATAGAATGATATTGTTAATGACATATGATCATATATGGTCACACCTTATAGCAAGTTACTATTAATTGATTATTTATTAGTATAATTTGATTATTTATTAGTATAATTTGATTATTAATAAATATTATCAACACTTGTATTTAATTGGAAAACATTATTTTATGAAAATAATATTTACCAACATATTGAGAATTATTGTTTCTAGGAAATAATAATAAAAATGAACAAAAAACTAGTCATAATTCACATAGTATGAATTCATAAGTTATACATAAATGTTTTGCCACTTTGAGTAATCATATACTTGGGATATAACTAACTAGCTAAAGATACCTAGCCATGACGAACCATGGGTCCTTACATGATAAAGGACACCTGCTTTTGATTTTTTTTATTACCTTATACCATGCATGTAATAAAGTCTCATGCCTTCCAATATTTTATGTCTAGCTTTTGTACTAAGAGGGGACATAAAAGAAAGGCATGCGAGTGAATTAAACTAGTTTTTGGAAGGGTTATTCACTCAATTTTGGCTGCCAATATTGTGGTTCTCTCCCTCTCTTCACCTCTTCTTTGTTCTTGTCAAATGTGCTAGAAATGAAGGCTTAAATATTGCTTCTCTTTAAGTATATTTTGGGGATATGTTTTAAAGATTAAGAACAACATTTTATAATTGAAGACTAGCATCTTTTAGTTTTTTATTCTTGCTTTGGTGGATACATTAAAGATGACTTCTACTTTGAGTTTTAATGTCATTCATCAACTTCCTAATTTCCAAAAGAAACCAAATTCTTCAAAG